GCTCGAACGTGTTCGCGTATATGCAACTAGATTTATATCTTTCGTAAAAGGCTAGTATAATTATACATCAATTACCCCGTACACTTCCGATAAGAAAATATTGTCACTCAATTAGCGGAATCGAAATTACCAATTACCTGCTATAGAAAACGATTGTATCGATTCCTCTTCGAAAAGATACGTTTCCTCGATATAATTAAACTGCGATTATGTAGGTTAATTTTTGTTGTTGTGGTAACAGCATACGAATTTTTGATGTATGTAATGATTAGATCCATTTTAGGCGGGCGTCTATTGTGGAAACCGAACGTTACCTAATGAGGTATCGCTTGTGAAAAAAAAAATCGGCATTCTCAAGAGAACTAGAAAAGAGCCAGTCCAAAGATAGCGGGGTCGATGGATTAAGAAATACATGAATAATACATCAAGCAATGCGCGCGATAGAAGATCCACGAATGAAAAAAAAAAACGACTAATATGTGGCATATTTGTATTTATAACAATACGTTCGTTAAACCGTGCACAAATGCTCGTTGGGGTCACACGCATTTCCATTGGTGTAGGTACATTTTTTTTCCAAATCGGCGAAATTTCGAACTCTTTGATAATCAATTAGACCACCAACAAACACCTCAAGAGAATCACGTGCAATCTCCATTTAAAACCCAATGGTAGAATTTTCCCTATTGTACGATTCCAATACAAATAGCCTCATTGTATAGGTGAGTAGAAGTGTTAAAGATACACTCTGTATATGGCGCCATATAGCAGTATCCGAACGAAAATAAAATGCTATTATCTAACTGAAAGTACTGTAATTCGTGTAGGAGAGCAGGTAAAAACTGGCCGACGCGTATACGCCCACAATTTTATGGTAATGTTAGACCTCAATGTAATTTATTAGCTATTAACCTTCAAATATTGCATACGCACGTGATCGCGTCGAAGGAGAAATTTCTTGTAAAAGTGTAAGAAAGTACCTACTACAAGAATATTATTTTTTCTACGACCAATGTTTCGTATGATATAAAAAGATATAAAGAGTCGAGGCTTTTTTGAAATTGTAATTTCACTTTATCCTTTGTATGCCATGTAGGTTTGTGAACAAAAGTTGGTTGTAGATCAAAAACCGTATAACAAGTATATTTTATTTTACGATCATCCCGGATGATCATAACATATATAAGGTAAATCGACATCATCATTAGCGAAAGTTATGATCTTGTTATAATAAGCATGATAACTTCATTATATGAGTCGCGTTCGATTCTTTTTTTGGTCATTAAAATCTCGATCGGATTATCCCTTTAAAGTCCTCACAAAAATCGCCGGTTTAATGCAGATACGTGTTCGAACTCGAAAAACTAGAAAATCACACTGACAAGTCGGTATCGGATTTAATTCTCTATACTTCGTGGGCGACTGTTTCTAACTTGTCCAGCTTTGGTATCCGTAATGGTGGTCTTGTCCCGTTCGCAAAGCAACATAAAAATATTTATTTTCCTGCTCAGTTCTGCTCCAACAATGACATCCCTGATATTAACATTAATACCGACATATCATGCGGATAATATTTTATTAATAGGCTTGTTTGCAGCAATGCTTTCAGAAACATACAGTCGATAGTATATGCTGTGAAGTTGTTGGTATAAGAAGTTTCGAAAAAAAAAAACGAAACTGTCCAATTCCGATCGAATCCATCCAACTGTTAAGCGAAATATAACCGCGATAAAAAGCATTAGTTACTCGTGACGAATCCGTCGACAGTTAAAGGACGTTACGGGACCGTTAAAGGAAGTTTCTCAGCTCTGTAAACTAACTTCGGATTGACGTCCGGGCATTCAAACCTTTAGTAATCAAGACCTTATTGACTGACGAACGAAAGGAACGCGTATTTCGAGGTTAACATAAAATCTGATAGACCGGTCTCGGGGTATTCGTATTCCTATATATAAGCTCCTTCTTCTTCTTCTTCTTCTTCTGCGGCTTTCTTTGATAACGGAGCGCCTTTCGCTGGTTTGTGTGACTACCCGTTCCCAGTGCGGTAACTTCCCTTTTTCTAACACTCTATTATTACTAACTAATATTTTGTTTAGTAACAATTTCGTACAACTACTTCCACTACAAAAATCATGAATTTTAAAAAAATAAAGAATGAAAATATCTGTCTATTATCTAAGCAGTTTGCATAAGTTTCTTTTAAATAGATATCCATAAAAGTAGAGAGTACCTATACTATGAGTAAAAAAATCGTTCCGGTGGCGACGCTGATCTAATTCTTTTCCCTGTTGCATCCACAGTTGGGCGATAAGAGCGCTTTCCACTATTTTGTGTGACACCTATCCCCCGTTGATGAACGGCTCCGGCTGGCATACATGGAAGTCGTGAGTCGATTTGAATTCTAATCTTTTAGAAACAGGGATTTTTACACCATAGTTAGCGCATATGCTCGCGCGGTTCGTTCGATTTGTAAATGGGCGAATTAATTCCACCTTAAAATGCGTGTAGATTTACTCGGTATCCCGGTCGTTTATCTGGAAAGATGCTTTTTTACTTACCGATATAACTCTAGCATTGGTAAATAGATATTGTGGATTTCTTTATTTCCAGCAACATTTTTCGTAAGACGCAAAAGTATTCAAAAAATGAACAAATTTACACTGCAATATCATCTTAAAAATTGACTATTTGTAATAACAATTAGTATTAAAATCATGTTATAATAATCTTTGGTGTTACATTTGGGACTTACCTGTTCCATTCAAAATAACACCAGTATTAGGAACGTTGGAAATGATTTTTTTGCCGTTGGTTCAAAATAGAATCGAATTGAACTAGTTCCTGTATCGACACTCATTTCAGCATCGCCATTTCATCGGTCGAGAATTCCGACGGAATGCAGTCGAAGCGAAGAATCGAAGAACAAAAAGTCGTTACGTCTAAAAATGACTTTTCCCTTTTCGATTCGCACGAAAGTCGCATATCGAAGTGTTCTCTACGAGAAACCGAAAAAAAAAAACGGGATAAATAAATTCCGCATGCGAATTACTCGAAAAAGACGGGTAAGAAATTAAACGAGCGCGCAATTAGCATGTTAATTGTGCAGTGGTAAGTACACTTTCTCACCTACCACGTCAATATCTTATTATATTTTATGTTGATCAACTTTATACGTGATTATATTCATTCCTGAGAGTATAATTAGGTCAAAGACGGACGTCCAGTAGTATTTAGAAGGCAGTATATCAGAGATATGAAATGTCAAGTACAATAGTGCAGCGAATATTTTAAGACATTAATATGTCTCGAACGTAGGATTAATTTTTTACAATAAGTAGTTAATGTAAGTAATAAATTGTAGCGTAATGTAAACGGCACGCTTCACGGTTAACTGAATATAGGTTATTAAAATCGATAGATCTCAAAACTTTACCTACTACTCATTATTAGTTTAAATGTATATAAATTCTACTATCGCGTATTCTTTATTTACAATCTAATTGTCATGTAAATGCACTTTTTAGCATTTAAATGTATCGTACGTTTCGTCGAGTCTATTAGTAACAAATTTATATGTACTTAACCTACTTATTCTTTCATCAAATTTCCCATTTTTAAGAATCTATTGTACTAATACTACACCCACGCAGGTAGCGGTGACTGTAATTTCTAAAAAACCTGGTAGTACGATATTCCAACACTCTAGGTAAGCACTTACAAGATATGCAAATCTAATAGGATGAATCATAATCCGGCCTAGCGCCTCATTTACTATTCACAACATAATCTTTCGACAACTGACGAGACCTGAATAAATAGCTATTATTATTCAAAACGACCGAAGCCTAAAACAATATTTGATTGGTACTTACAACGGAGCACGGCGAATTGCCTTAGTCTCAAATATAGCGTTATAAACGCGCTAATTGAACAGTTTAACCAATAATTGGGATATTGACGAATTTGTGAGTCACATTCGACTATAGATAGCTAAATTTGGGTTTCACCTTTACATAAATTACAGTTTGTTAGGAATAAATTCACTGAGTAATCGGTTAATTATTTAACGCTCATTTTAAGCATCACATTAGGAAGTTTCTATATTAGAAGAAGAGAAAAAAGAAGAGACTATACAGAAGTGTCGATTAATACAGGGTGTTAATGAGATTTATGTGAGTGGATTAATAAGAAAAGTTTTTTTTTTCTAAAATTTTAACAACCTGTAGTTCGAAAACTAAAAGGTTTAGAACATATATTCGTATAAACTTTTCTTCTTAACATCATCCAAATATTCACATCCTAAAGTATAGGCATTCAATTAATTAACACCCTGTATAATAAGTAGATAAAATATAAAGTAAGAGAATATAAAGCTTTTGATTAATACCTGGCACCTCTCTCAAATCGAATCGGATTATTACCCGGGCCTAATCCCGTTCAAGAAAGGGTTATATAGGCATCGTATCGGGGGTTCGAAAATTCGTCGAAAAACCGCCGGGGTTCGCTAATGACACGCATACATTATATATACATTCGCCGTAATCCCGAGCTCTTAATCATCCGCGCTCGAAGATCTTTATCATCGTTTTATTCCACCTTCACGCCGATCTTCCGATTCATCATTTCTCCGCGCCCGCGATGCACGCACGTTCAGGTGGGGATCCCGCGTTCGGGAGACACCAGATACACCGGACGAAATCTCCATCCTCCAGTGACCAGCTAGAGTTCGGCCGGTCGAGGACTGGCCTCCCAGCGCAGCCCACATAAACGCAACAAAACGCGAGTGAGAGACATCAACGAGCGATTAGAACAGCAACCCTAATATTTTCATTTAAAGTTTCGTATTCGAATTACAAACGAGTGATGTTAACGGTCGGTTAGAAGAGAAACTTATTCGGGGATTTCGACGCGCGATTAGAACATTAGATTAGAAATTAGCGTGTATGTAGTCGTTAAGTGTTATAAATTAAGTGACAAATGGACTCGTTACTGCAATACAGCGAACTTTCCGAGCGGCTCAGCTCGCAGTTACCCGAGCTGTCGTATCACGACGATAACAACAATAATGAGTTCGATAATGCGTCGCCTACGAAAGGGGATAAGTACTCGCTCAGGCCGCGATCGTTGCGGCGGATGACGGAGAACGCCAAGGAATCGTTGGGCGAATTGACGAAGAGACAGAACAAAACGCAGAAGCCCAAGCAGAAAGCGGCGCCGTTGAGCAAATACCGCAGGAAAACGGCGAACGCGAGGGAGCGGAACCGCATGAGGGAGATCAACCAGGCGTTCGAGACGTTGAGGAGGATCATTCCGCACATGCAGGCGGCCCACGTGCCGGGCAACAACGAGAAATTGACGAAAATCACCACGCTGCGTTTGGCCATGAAGTACATTTCGACGTTGAGCGCCACTTTGAACGGCACCAGCGAATTGGAATCGCTGTCCGATTACAGCGATTTCGATTGTCTGTTTTTGGAGTCCGACGGCGAGTCCATATCGGATCATTCCGGGTCGTTGTTGACGTCCCCGGATTTTCCGGAACCTTCCCTGTCGCCGGTGGATTTTAGTGATCCGTCGTTGCCCGCTCTGCTGCACACCGATTTCACCGAGCATTCGTTAGAACCCGCCGATTTTAGTGACTTTTTGTTAACGTAACGTTGTATGTAAATAATTCCGCCGTGTACATATTTATCTGGTTAGGTTAGTTTCTGGAAGTTTTCGTTTCTGTAAGAAAGTAAAATTTTTCGGAATGAAAATCCATTGCATCAAAATGCGTTTGGGAGTAGGTAACGTGTGGAAATTTGGTTATATTTAAAATTATTTGGATATTAATGTAAGTACATTAAAGAAGAGTTACGAAAAGTTCGAGTAGGTGTAAAGAAAGTGTGAAGGATACTAATAAAACGATATTCAAATAAGGAATTAATTAACTGCCGGTAGTTTATTGAATTAGAGAAACGCATTAAGATTCAGGTAAAAGATTACACCTAATAATAATTTTTTATTGAGATTTTAAAAGATATTTTCGAAAAAAAAACTAGAGTTGCATATCAACTAAATTTATTACCCTTGCACACTTTTCGAAAATCCTCTATTACAACTTTTTAAACCTATATATCTTTATGTATTGTTCCGTGTTTAGTACTTCAAAAGCTGTAATAATATATCATACGTTTGACAGTTATTTACTCTCAGATTTAGTTAAATCACTTTCTATCAAATATAATTTATATCACACATAATATTGTACATAAAAAAATGAACTGAACGTTAAAACGTCTTGCCTCATAGAGTTAAGTCTTCTTTTTTTGTAAAATAAATTATTTTGTGTTATTGTTACCTATAGATGTTTTCATAAATCATATATGTATAATATAGGATGCCATATTTTGAATGTTTTATAATAAATGTGTTGAATAAAATTTATGTTTCATTTTGTAGGCGTGCTTCTCGAATACAGGGTGCGACATTCGAATTTTTAGATCTGATCGTACTCGCGCAATGGTACCTGTAGAATGGTGAATAATTGCAACACAGGATATAATTTTTAAATAAATAACTCACCTACGATACCATTATATGATTACGAGGAGTTGACATTGAAGCGTCGCCCACGCGCCGTATCTTTCACTGCCGTTTATTAAATCGTATTAAATAAAATTTATGTAATCATCTATTAATTTCGTCTCGCGTTTAATAGAATGCCCCCCTCGTATAACATAAAACATATACGTGTGCAGAGGAAGCGAACCGTATTTCGAAAACCGGTTTAAATTAATTAAAGAACGGAATACGAAATTTGTTACAATTTTCTTTTATCTTAATTACGTTGTAAACTAATATTTTATGCGCGCGTTTGTCGAACGCGTTCCGAAAAGCTCGAAGCAAAGTGCAATTTTCAGTCATTTGCTCGTTGAAATTGTTTAAATCGATTTGAATTGTTGTAAAAAAATAGGTCAGTGAGTTTCTATTAGAGGTAGTTTTATTGTTTTATTTGATAATAATTGTCTTCGCAATTATATGACGAACCCAAGCTATGTTATTTTATTATGTCATTACTGTAATGGGCAAGGAAAATATGGTTAAAAATTGTTTAATTCGAATGTACTGGATGTTTAGACTACCGCATTAAATCTTTTTAATAGCGCAATATTAATGTATAATGCACTCGGAATCGACGTAAATAGAGTTGTGATATGTTTATACACATTCGAAATGCAAGAAGTTTAACTGTTTCAAGTGGATTATTTCTGTTTATGTTATTGTTACTTAAAGCAGAAATTATATGCATTTATGATTTAATGAATCAATTTCCACTTAACGTGTATAATTTCCGATGATCTCATGTTCGATATAGCAACAATATATCGGCGAATTTTCAGAAGTGGGATATATCATCGTCCATGTGCGGGAATTCGTGTCAATTGGGTACTGTTAAAAAATCTCACGCACAATGGGAAATCAAAACGACCGTGAAACGCGAATTGACAACGTTCGGAAAAAAAATCGCATCGATAATTTTTTATCGGGCTCCGAAATCGACGATAAATGTTTCTCAATCGAGTATTGTCCATTCGGACATTGAGGTTGTCTCTTTTGATGTTTCTTCATTGATGATTGATTCGGAGAAAGCCCGTTTTCATTATACAGGGTGTATATTTTAAGCTGCAAAACTGGAATAAGTATAGCGAATCAAAGTCATTTGAACTCTGATTGTCGACTATATAGGGTGTTAACTAATTGAATGCCGATACTTCAGGATGTGAATGTTTGGATGATTTTAAGAAGAAAAGTTTATGTCAATATATGTCCTAAACCTCTTATAGTTTTCGAGCTACAGGGTGTTACAATTTTTAGAAAAAAAATAACTTTTCTATCATAATTTTATTATTACTCCAGGTATGTTTAACTTTCATAAATATTCGGATTAATTGTTATTAATATTCGCTTGAATATGGCAAAAAAAGTGTATCGATATAGATGCATAAATTATACTTGCGGTTGTCATTTGGTCGTTCGCGAAAGTTTGTTTTGGAATCTTTATTAAGGCGATTTTTAAACTGAGGATCTCTTTTAACTGGACTTTTTACGAGCACATCTTAATCAACGCTACTAATTGCTCATAAGCAATAATTCCGAGCTGGCATCGGAAAACGAAAACGTTTTTGTTATCTCGCGATGTATTTATTGAAGAGCGACTCTTTCGGACTGTGCAATTAGGCTTTCGAAGATATGTTAATAATTTGCTTAAAAACCGAATTCGATTGATACGATCTCCATTAGCATACGCTGTTTAAATTCGCCAAAAAAAGCACTACGATGAACAACGTTTAATGGAGTTATGCTTATGGGTAATAACAGCCAGCCAGCTCGCCCGATTTTGCACCGTTCGAATTTTATTCATTTTTTATTTACATACATACAGGTATCGACAGTATCGCAGGTACGCATGAATGCATAATAAGGGCCTGATTGTAGCTGGAAGGTGAATTTTCGGCTCAAAGTGTGGCCGGCAATTAAAATGTGGCGAGACAACAAAAGAGTCGGGTTAAAAAAATAAATGGCGATTCGTCATATTGTCTCGGACACGATCGCCCGGTAATTATAAATAAATGAAAGACGCCTGGCCTCCAAAAAAATAATTATATCGGAATTAATAAAGGCGAAAAAATAATCGAATTTGCGTTTATAATTACACGTTTTCGTTTCGCGAAATTAGGCAGGAATTATTCGCGTAATAATTTTCGATTGTCAATCCAAACTCTGTATGTATGCGTAGATGTGAAAAATTGCCGATGTCTACATATCGATTACTCCGGAGTATATCAATACAGAGATAACACAAGTACTAACCTTCGGAAGAAAACACGATATGCTACAAATATATCTACAATATTGTTTCGATCTCGGTGTCAGCTTAGTTGAAATTTACCGCTCAATAGTCAACCGACTGCCTACCACTTGCATCATGCATGCAAGTGTAGTAAAATCAGGTTTCCAATAACTCACTTTAAATTATATCAATAGGTATCGTACGGATATTGTATACAGAGCGTCCCTTATTCCTTTACTTATACTAGTAATATTTTATTGAAATGAAAAAGTTTAATTGCCGAAATTTATCGAGTTAAAAAGGCGAGTTTTATTGAGGTGTTGAAAAACTAAGCAAATAGTATGATTGATTAGCAAAGGGAATTAAGATTGTATTAAAGATAAGTGGGTTAGGAACACCTTGTATAATCGAGTTGTAAGCGAACTAAATTTATAAGGTGGCGTATAAACGGTCCGATTGCGAACGTTGGCAGGCCTCTTTGCGCTCGTGAATCAGCCGAACCCATGCCCTTTTCGCTCTTTTATTTTCGGTAGGTAGGTAGTCCCCATTTAGTTGCACTCGTTATTGCACTTTATATCATCCGTCTGGTAAGTCTTCACCCACCCATACATGATGCCGACTAATTTCAGTTGCTCCAGACACTGAAATACGGTGCGGGTCTTCGACTTTTTGCAGTCGTTATTTAAATGTTTTCTCCTTTGTTTGCCGAGAAATACGACGAAAAAATGGAGGTTTTAACGTCAGTCATCGCTACAAATTGTCAGTTGTTTACCGCACGAGTTGAGACTATTGTTGCGGATTTGCATTTAACCGATATTTCTTTGTAATACATACGAACTTTGCATATAATTGCTTATTTGCATTGTTATAAATTTTACTAAACCCGAAATTTTTAATTAAAATAATTGCTAAAGAAATCTGGAAACATAATTAACATTTAACTCCTTATTAATATTAATTAAAACAAACCGCTCGGAAATTAACGCCGGCATTAGTAATTTATAATTATACCTTCCAAGTCGTCGAGTTTGTTTTTAGATAAATTTACCTTCATAGTTGAGCGTATTCTGAAAAATAGTAATCCTATTCAAATTGATGCCTTATAAAGAAAACGAGCATAATCGTACTCGTACGAATAAATGAATTAAAACGATCCAGATTTATGGAAGATTTTACCAGGGTCGTAAGATAACAACAACTACCTATCTAAACAACTACATCATAATCAATAAAATTCTCGACTACATCAAACAAATGTATGCAAAATTATTCATTAATAAAACCACCTAATTCATTTATTAGCAAATCCTGCGGCAATTTTCTAAACGAAGTACAAACTACTTATTGACCGGCTCCTGTAAAATGTTTGTATTTAATGGGGAATGAAAATATTTTAAATTTATTAGAAGCATCGTTAAACCGGTAGCCACATCAAATGTACGAAGTCGCTATGTAAATTAAATACGGGGTTACGTATAATGGTCGGATCTAACGAGATTGCTACTTATTTGCGACGGCATAACTTACAATTAGTCAAAAAATAAAAGGCCAATTAAATATCCAGCGGAAAATCGCCAAGTATTTAATAGCACTGCGAGTTTTTGATTGTTTCGAGCGCATTTGCATTAGAATAAATTCGATAATGAGCGATGTAAATATTTTTTATGGTCCTCGTCGCAACGCTCAAACTCGATCTATAAATCAGATTTTTTCAATTAATCCTACAGAAAAAAAAACTTTCACTCGCTTTAAAACGCCGATAAAAAATAAATCGAACGTGAAATTTTTCATTAATTAAGCCCACCGGTAATTAATACGACCT